ATCTATGGAGGGAGAGGTTGACTGAAGTTGGAGTAGACCTCATCAGGGATGATTGTCATAGCCATGCTGCTTAGGTAGGGGCAAGGAAGCCATTTGTGCACTGTTAGATGATTCATGAGCGACAAAGATATGAAGTTGGCCAATCTTCCTCACCACCACTACAACAGTACCATGTCTTTTGAGTTGAGATACCATCCTTGAGAGAAGTCGTATCGAGACAAGAAGAGAACTTTCTCGAGTACCAGTCCATCAATGAGCAACATTTGGATGCATTCCAACATGGTCATAGACAGGAGGCAGAGGAGACTCACGCTTGGTGATGGAAGAAAAAGGCACAACAAAAGTAGGGTCAGGATTGGATGCATGAGTTAGGTTCTTCAAGCAAGGACCAAGACATCTCTAGGATTTTCTATATAATGGTGGACTACGTTTATCTTTTATGTTTGCTTTGTTTTTATTTTGTTTGAATTTGGATACTAATCTGAATCATAAGCACTAGATTTTATTCATTATCTATCTTTCAATTTTCTATTTTGAATTCTTATGTCGAGTGTTTCGATGCAATCTAGGAATTAAACTAGATATTCTCCGTAATAATTCAAAATTAGTACAACAAATAAGGTAACTCATTCCAACTTTTTCATTGCTCGCAATTATTTAGTACATTGGCCACCGTACGCATCCATCTCAATGGTCAACATAATTACGAGTTCTGATTTTTTTATTGAATTATGAAATAAATTACCGCATTTATGTTGACCGTTGAGATTGACGCATACGCCGGAAATTGCTTGGTGTACAACATACACCAATTTTTGCCTGGTGTAGGATAGAAGTCACTATTTTGGGCGCATTCAATGCACCCAACTTTAAAAGTGGTCATAATGCATCAAATTCTAAAATTTAATGGGTAGCATTAGTCTAATATGATGATATAACACAAAATCACAACTAATCAATCCATTACCCTAATCTATTAACCTTCAATTTTGAATCCCAACCCAAAATCCCAAATTGTAAACCCTAACCCTAACCCTAACCCTAAATCATTCAAATTAAAGTGAATCTTGAATCATTTTTATACAAATTCATATGGTTTTTGTTCATCATACCACAAGTGATGAATGACATCGTTACACATGAATCGCCTACTTAGAATGACTATTATGAGGCGGGTGCGTCAGGCGTACGTCAGGCATATACTATACGTCAGGTACTACTAGTGAGATATCTCTATCTAGACCATGAATTAAATCGAGTTTGGGGTATGATACTATACCCTAACCTCAAATGGATAAAACCCAGGTACCGATTTTCTAAACCCCAACCCGAAGTTTGATTAAATGAAAAACAAAAATTGACCGTTGAGATCGGTCAGAGCTCATCTAAGTACATCTAACGGTTAGATCACCTGATGTGGTGCCTTCTACGGTACTCCGAGTGAAATCCGGGGTACCGCATACCTTGAGTATGAAAACGCTATCTAGACCTTGAATTAGCAAGATTTTTTGGCATGAAACTATACCCTAACCCTTAATGAGTGAACTCTAGGCCCTAATTATCTAAATCATAAACTCTAAACCATAAGATGGTGCATTGATTTTTTTGCCTATATTTGGACGAATCATAACCGTCGATTATTGTTTCTAATTAAATTGATCTTGGGGTATAAGAGTTAGAGAATTAAGAGCTAGATTTTGATCTTTAAGGGTTAGAATACAGTATCATGTCCGAAAGATCAGTCAATTCAAGTTCTGGATAGCGTTTTCTTACTCAAGGTATGTGGTACCCCGGATTTCACCCTGAGTACCGTAGAACTCCCCATATATATATATATATTCGAAAATACCTAAAGATGTTTTCCCATCAAATGACTTGTTTAGTCATCCCCTACAAGCATGTTCACTGCTCATGTTACTTTGAATCAAGGAGGATAGTGTAGTGACTGTGAAGGATGTGATAGTGAATGAGATATAATAAGCATTTCTGATTATGCAACGGAATATCACTTTTTCAAAGTTTCTCCTATGGGGTGAATTGTATCTTTTATAAAATGCAAAACCTACCGATGAATAAATGGTTTTATCTTATGAAATTTGCCATACTAAGTTCATAAATAAAGCATGGGTTAAGCCCAACGTGTGAGGCATCTTATCATTGCACAAATTTGGGTTTTGGAGGACATACTACTGATTGTTCGGTGACCCTGTTCGAAGTTGTTTCTCTCTAGGACATGTAAAATTTTCACCCACTAAATTGATAGCCAACTTGAGGATGTGTTTTTAAGGGCACGAATAGAGCTTCAAACACCCCTTAATTTCATTGATCCTCCACACGAATTGAGATATAGAGTTAAAAGAAATACTCTGACAAAATCAGAAATATCGAAATTGCTCTTACTCAACTAACAAGGGTTTAATCCTCTAATAAAGTACCCTCAACAAGAAAACGACAAAAATAGTGTTGCAAAAATCAAGAAATCGAAAAAGTGTGTTGGTATTGAAGCCAAAGGTGCTAAAAGGGTAGGTCAAATGACGGTAGAAGCATTCGAAAGCTCAAAATCGTTTATCAAAAGCTTCACCCTATGTGTTTTGAGACTCTAACACATGGTTAGTTCTTTATGCTTGAGTTGAGTTGCATGATGTTCTTACATACTAATATGGTTAGGATTCTCTCGTCCTATAAATGACCTTGTAAGTTCACTTTTGATCCACAACCTAAGATCATATGATCTAGTGATGTTCCTTAGTTTCCATTGAGTTCTATTATGAGTAGTGTTTGCTTGGGGACAAACAAAGTTCAACTGTGGAGTATTTCTGATAAAATTGAAATTATAGTGTTTATCATTCTCATATTTGATACATTTTCCCTTTATATCAATGCATCTTTAGGAGTTTTTACTTGAATTCATATGAATGTCATAACTATTTGATCAATTAGCTATTATTATATCTAGTTTTGTTTTTGTATCTTATATGCCTTTTTGGAATGTTTCTATGCTTTCAAGGTAAAATACAACCTAGGATAATTTGTGTCGAAGATTGGATAATTATGGAGGATCAATGGAGCATAATTGAGAAGATCAAGGGATGGGGATGAAGCAGCCAAGCCGCCTCAAAACTGAAGGGTCTTGCATCTGCTGATGGCGACTGAGAGGTAGTGACGCTCGTGAAGATGAGTAGATGGTCCTAGTGAAACTTTGGGAGATGGCAAACCGATGTATTGGGGAAAACAGTGTTCTATCACCCGTTTCATAAAGACCTATCTATCCGGCTAGCTTTATGAGCCGCAATCAAATCAACGCTGAACCAGGTAAGTTGAGGTCTCGAAAAACCCAAGTCTGTAAAAAGCGCCTCATTCATCCAGTTCATGAATTTTTGGCATCTCCTGAAGTCTCTCGTTGTGTTGATTCCATACTTCTCCTCTGGTGAACCAATGGCGTTAAAATCTCCTGTAATGATCCAGGGGAGGTCCCAATCTCTACCGCATTCAATAATTTGCTCCCATAAAAGAGTGTGAACTTGTAGTAGGGGCTACACTAGACGCCAGTTAAAACCCAATCCTAGTGGTCTACTTTCAAAACTTTGACTGAAATGGGATGTTTGCTGGCATTCAGCTGAGTAACCGTAAAGTTCTTTGATTTCCAGGCTAGCCAAATCTCCCTAGACCTGCCATCTACATCTACTCGAATCACTTCATCAAACCCCAGTATGTCGCAAACTTATTAGCTCGTTCTCCACTGATCTAAGTTTTGATGATGATCGTAAAGTCGGGCTTGTGGACATCCTTGAGAAGCCACATCGCCCTCGCGAATTTACTCCCTCCTGCTCCACAAACATTCCAAGACAAGATTTTGAAGTTAGTTTGATACAACATAGACATAATATAAGATGAAAGGAAAAGAAAAGAAAAGAAAATGGGCGAATCAGAGGGAGTGCGGGGATCCAGTTGGGATGGTCTCTGAAATCGTCATTTCTCATGTATGCGACTTCCACTACAGGCATACCACTGTCAACCACTTCCAAAGTTGTTGTTTCCTGCATTACCACATCCTCCGCCCTCATCTCATCTTGCGACAATGGTATGCCCACATTTTTCTGGGCCGTTGTGCAAAATTCTTCAATGACTTGGAAAGAGATTGGAAGAGACGCCTGCCCGAGCTTTGATTGTCGCTCCTTCCTCCCTGGACTAAGAATTTGGAGCGGTTTCTTTATAGCTTTGAGGTTGACGCCTTTAGGATGGAGAACTCGATCTGCTTTCTATTTGTGGTGCTGGTTGCGTGCTATAGCTTCACTCGAGTTTGGATTCTCATTTTCCTTTTGTTTCAACTTCAGCTTGGGAAAGTCAAGGATTTGGATCTTAGTATTATTTGGGCCAACAATCACTTATTGTGATTGTAAAGTGGCCCGCTGAGAAGACGCGATGTTGGCATTCGGGCTCGCACCATTAGGCCCATCATTCTTACTTGTTGCAGCTTCTTGTGATTTTGGCCCAACTAGGCACCACTCCTTCACCTCCACCACAGCCTTGTTACCGTTGGCCACTCTCCCATCCTCAACCACTTTCCCTTTATCAATCCCTTGTTTTCCCTGCTCCTGCTTATCCCCTCCACGTAGGGTCCGTATTAGGTCAGTAACCCTATCCTCAGTAACCGTGCGTAACCCCTTCCTCTATCCTTCACGTGTCTGCATCTGAGCCATTCTCTTTTATTTAAATGAAACATGGAGGGGCAGTAGGGTAATTTGCATCCACCCCTTATTTATTGCTGACGACCTGACGCCTGCTTTTGACCGAACGTGGACCCCACTCCCCGTCCTCCACACGTTTCCCTCTGTCACACTTTTATCTATTGTTAAAAGAAAAATTAAATTATTTCTTCTCTCTCCCATCTACAACTAAAAGAGAAAAAAAAGTACATGCTCTCTGCACACTAACTCAATCTCTAAAACAAATATGAATTCAACAATCTCAGCTCTCTCTACCCCAACTCCAACTCAAATTGAATGATGATTTTTTCATTTAATAATTCTCTGCCAAGAAGGGTAATTACAAGTATGAATATGACTATCACTTTCTACTACCATGGTAAAACATGGCAAAATATGCTAAAGAAAATTACAAATCTAATTACCATACAATACCATATGGTATAAATGCTAAAATAAAATTAGAAATCTAACTACCATACAATACCACATGGTATAACGTGGTAAAACATGTTACAAAAAATTATAAATCTAACTATCATACAATACCACCATAGTAGAACATGGTAAATCGAATGACCATAAAATAATCATAATTGCCATACAATACGACATGGTAAGAGAACGTAAAACCATTTAAAAACAAATATAAATATAATTACCATCATCTATTACCATAGTAAAACATGGTATGCATAAAAATACCTCTAGTTACCACACATTACCATATGGTATAGTGTGGTATATATATAATTCCAACTTTCTTCGCTTTCTTGTCCCCTTCATTGTCTTCTGAATCTCCTTTCTCTGAATTGATGTCGATTACCACACTCTACTTTCATGGTAAAATATGGTAACCATATTGTATACATCGAGTTACCACACATTACCATATGGTATAGTATGGTAATCACAATATACATCTAGTTACCACACAATACCACCATGGTATAGTACGGTAACAACAATATACATAAAACTAAGACGTACTTCACATACCTTTCTTCTGCCTCCTCTAATTTCCTCCGCAAACGAGAACACTAAAAGAAGAAAAAAAGAGGAAGATTGGAATTGAAAATCCATAAACAAAAACTAAACACATGCAAACTTGACTCACCTAGATCTGTCCCCTCTCGGTCGATATGGAGCGTCACCAATTTTGAAGCCGAGTACTTGAAAAAAGGAGGCTGCACCTTTCCTTGAATAAGAGATTAGATCTAGAGAAGAAGGAGATGGGAAGAGAGAAAGGAACAAAGAAAAAAGGAGATTGCTGGAGAGAAAAAATGAAGAACAAAATAAGAGACTAGATCTAGAGAAGAAGGAGTTTGACAGAGAGAAAGGAACAAAGAAAGAGGAAAAGAGAGTTGCAGAGATAAGACACTAACTCTCTCTCCTCCATGCAAAGCTAATTAATAAATGCTGAGCAAATTAAAAAAAGGGAAACAATTAAAAATTCAAAAAGCGGACAGAAATACCCCTCCTCATCCCGCATCATTCCCAACCACATGATCGCTCCACGGAGCTCATGCTTTCATTTTGTGTCACCGATCACAATTCCTTTCTCATTATTCATCTTCCCTTATTTGTACCAAAATTCCAGGTGAGATCTTGCTTCTTTTCTTATGTAGCACCTTGCGTATGTTCCTCATTTGGAGCCGATTTGCTATTCCGTCGTGATTTACGGACAATCTGCATCCATGACCCAAAATCGGTAGAGGGTCCGGTGTATCTTTGATCGGTGGCAAGCTGTTGATATGATCCGTCGAGGTCGCTAGCATTATTAGAGGTACAAGTGACTTCGCAGGGCAATCAGCTTTCGTATGATCGATTCAACCGCACGAATAAAAAAATTGTTGGGATATTTTCATATAGAACCTGTTGCTAGGCTCCGTCAAGCCGAATCCTTGTTAGAAGGGAATTAATCATGTCTAACTCTATCGCTAGGCGAGCAAACTTGCCCCGTTTCAATCTCTTAGTATGATAATCAAGTTTGATAGTTCTTCCTACAAGATTCTCAATGGCAAACAAAACTTCCTTGTGATAGAAGTGAATTGGTAACTCCGTAAATTGAATCCAAACGACTACCGATCTATTAGGCTTATCATATGTACGAAACGAGGGTGACCATTGATGAACAACTAAGTAATGTTCAAAGATGACCCTGAGTCCTCCCGTCAGCGCTCTTAGATAGTCTTGATCATCTCCAAAAGTTGCCAAAATTGTGTCGTTATTGAGATCCATGATCTCGAGAGATCTAATTAACCGGCCGCCACTTCCATCTTAGCTGAGAACATAGATAGGAGTAAGCGATAGAACGATCCAGGAGACGGACCACCAGGGTCTTCTTCCAGTGTCGGCAGAGCTTCTCTTTGAATCTGGAAGATAATTTCAATTCTGGATCCCCTTGGAAGAGGCATGTTTCCATGTCGTTTTGTACCCACGAAAGTCCACTGAGACAAACTCTTGGCTGTATCTTGATTGATCCTTGCCAAAGCTGCCTTGAAGTTCAGAGGTTGATTAGCGTACGTGAAGGTTAAGGCTGCTTTCCCCGCTGGCGTGGCCAGAGGGTTGTCCGACGGGCGTCCCGAAATCTCAGAAATCGTCGACGGTGGCGAGTTAGCGAGAGCGTGCAGAGAATCCATCGGCGTCAGGAAGAAGGTAACTTAATTGACCAATTTTCCGATTGAAATAAAGTACATAGGAGTTCTAACCATAGTAGGTTTAGTCATAATTGCCCTATGATGATCATGCTTACGTTATAAAATTCTAAAAAATAATTTAGAAAACAAAAAGTCAAGATGGCCGAGTTGGTCTAAGGCGCCAGTTTCAGGTACTGGTCCGAAAGGGCATGGGTTCGAATCCCATTCTTGACAATGTGTTTTTTGTTTACAAATTTGGTTTTTGCTCACTTGTTCTTGTGTTTGTTTCAAGTGTGATCTGGGTTGTTTGTTGCCTTGAATGGATATTGTTTCCAGCTTGTTTCGGACAGGGTTGAATTGATATTGTTTTAGTTTCTAATTCAGTTGCTCTTGTTTTAGTTTCTAATCAAATATTAACTCCAGATTGCTTCGAGAGGCATTGCTAGCCTTGATACATCAAAAGAAGAACCGCAGGTTATTAGAAATTAGATACATTCAGCTTGGATACTACATCCACAGTAATAAATATGTTAGCCAGAACCCGAAAATACCAATCAAATTATCAACTAACCAAGATATAAAGTCATTGTAAGGTTCTGATAAAAGAAAATCATACTATCATAAGGCCGTTCAGAAAGAAGACCTACTGATAGTCACAACGAACTAAACATTTGTAATTGGCTGCACAGGAAGTCCAATAAATGAATGCTGGAAAAAAGGAACACCGACTTACGACAGGAATTTTCACAAATAAAGCACTAGGTGCTCTCGTATACGATCGATCCTTTCACGTCTACGTTCTCAAATCTTAATCATCGACATCTATTCCTTAACATTCCTGTGCACGATAGGTAGAAAAAGGCTTTCAAAATTTTCATGCTTGTGTGAGAGAACTAAGAGAAGTCAATGTCAGCTCCTAACGAGGTGCTTCATCTGGGTTCTTCCCTTTACCCCTCAGCACGCCAGTGAAGTTGCCCCTCATGATTCGCATGAATCTCGTGTCTTCTGCCGGTTGGGGAGGTACAGTGGTATCCTTTGGGGATGGAGGCGCGGACTGTTGTGGAGATGATTCTGCAGTTTCTTTCTTACCTAACAGCCTGCCTTCCCCGAATAAATTGGTTACTGATGATGCTATCCCAGTCCCCAGATGACCTCCCATCACCTTACTGAAGGTTTCCAAGGTCCCCCCTGATCTTTCCTTCATTATTATCTCGAGGGCTTCCTTGTGAGCTGGGTCCAGGGCTTCTGGGTCCTTTAGCATGTTTTGTATCGCCGGCAGCAGGTACTCCCGCACACTGTTTACCGAGAGATCTGCAGTAAGAGAGATCATAATGAATGTACCAAATGAGGATTTGGACACACTGTTATTGATATCTGTATTTCATATTCAAATAACGACAGCTTGACACAGTAAGTCAAACCTGTGGCATCCAGGGCACGAATTGCTTCACAGAATGCATTAGCCCTCTCCCCGCCACGGGTAATGTCACTTGGTGATGTTGGGACGGCTGAGAAGTGGGAAATTTTTGAAAGCAGATGTGTGAAACGTTAGGGAAACAAGTGGATGAGCCTCTACAGTGGTAATTTGTACAGAACACAAATTGATGTAAGTAAGGACGATTCTTAAATATGAGGATATAATCTCTAAGTCGCTCAGTTGTATGTGGCACAGCTACTGACAGTGCTCGGATAACAGCAATGGTAGCTTCATGTGATCCCTCATCGAGAAAGGCATCCATTTGAACTCGTATCTTATCGACAATCTGAAAGAGGATGATTAAGTTAAATAAATAGTTGGGCGGACCAAAAGTTACCACAATAACCAGTATTCACACGAAGGGAAACCCTGCTCCATACCAAGTCATTCTTAAAATGTTGTGCCACAGCTCCAAATGATTCTATGCTGACGTACTTCACATTCTGGTTCTGGTCAGACCCTAGAGTTACCAGGGCAGGTACCACGTGGGTCGAAGCAACCTTTGTATCGATGTATGGTACCTAAGAATGAAACCAGAATAGAATTAAGAGATCTTCCAAAACAGATCATGCTATAAGCTGTGAACGATGGCATTTCAGGGGGAAAAAATAATTACGATGACTTTTAACAGATTGGCAGCATTGATTTTCATATCCACGCTGGAGCTAACAACCATTTCCCACAAGATGTTGAATATCATGCCATGGTGCTGTTCAAAAGTACTGCATCAAATCAGTCAAATCAACTGAGTTTGTTAGTCGAGCAAAAACTTCAAAGTCGAGCAGTTAAACACCAGTCAAATCAAGTGTAGTATACAAACCACAGACACCGAACAGCATCAATGACATCAGTATAGCGCCTAGTTGATGGATTCTCCTTCAGGTAGTTATCAACTAACAGCTTTCTCAAGTAGTCTGATAGCTGATCACGTTTGCTGGGAGAACCTAAAACGCCTGCCAAAAGAAGTGGTAGAACACACGTTGTAGCCAGTCTTGCAGCAACAGCACTTTTAGGCCTCAAACCTGTAAAAAAATAGTATTACCATTTAGAACAAACCTACTGGCATGGAAGCTGTTCAAAAAATAGAAAAATGCAGTGGGTTCATACCTTTGATTCTCGAATGTATAGCCAAAGGGAAAAAGGTAAAGTCAGCATCATCACCGACTGCTACCAAGAATACAGGCAGCATTATATGAACCAGGTACGAATCCCCATAACTTTGTCCTACGGCTAATAAAAACTACAAACCAAACATGGGTCAGCAAAACTGCAGGATAGCATAATTCTTCAATGAAAAGGAAAATTAAATATGAGGAAACAGTATGAATACTAAAAGAATAAACCTACCTTTGTAATTCTGTTTCTCAGATTGTCCTCCTTCTGATGTAACATGCAGGAAAGCTGCATCAGAACAGGAAAGCTGTCCACATGCATCCATTCAAACGCAGGCCATTCCACATGTCCCCTACTGAAATATTACAGATTTCTCAGAAGCAATAACGGGAAAGCAAATGCTAAAGAAAAGCAATGCGAAAGAATATGCACCGAAATATCATGGATTCTAATTTGTACAAGGGCAGTGGAAGTGTTATACGGTAAAATTGGGAAAGCAGAAAATATCTATCTCACCCTGCATACAGTTCCAGCAAGGCATCGGAAAAGATGTTGTCATTTGACTCCAAAACAGGAGAAAATGGACAAGTATCTGCTGCCTTTTGACGGATTAGTGGAAGTAACTCTATAAGCATTCTCAGTAGAACATCAAGATTCCAACGCTCACGTTCTCCTAAGACCCGTAGATGGGATTCCAGTGAGCCTTCAACACCAGAAATAGGAGGGCAACGCTGGGGATAAAGTTTTTCCAAATAACGTGTGAGAAAAAAGACACAGGAACAGTAACTCTACTGAAACAAGCATTAAGCATATACCTGAGCACAGCTTAAGGCATGAGACAGCAAAACTTTCAAAACGTGTTCTAAATTGTTTCCCCATTTTATTACTGCAGGAACCAGCTCCCTGAGTGTAGTTTCGACCACCACCCCAGAGGGATCACAAACCAGTTGGAACATCAACTCTTCAACCTATCAACACAGAAACCCACACAATCTGTAAAACTTGATTTGCATCCTTCTTCATTTTTCTTCAGTACTTCAACAGTTTTTTCCAAGTCATGATATCATGGCATGAGGAAAAAGCCTCATTCCCTAGACAATGTGCCATCAACCTGTCTAGAGCTTACATTTCTGTCAAATGAGATTTCTTCTCCCTGATTGCCTCGAAGCATATTTAGTGATGCTGACCTTGAAATATTTGTCCGCATTCAGGAATAGTGGAAGCAGCAAAGCCAAATTATGAGCAGCAGCATCTCGAACAACAGTCGCAGCATCTTCAATCAGTTGCTGCACTATAGAAAGAATTAAAGAATCCCGGATCTCAGGCCTCACAAATTCTGCAATCTGTCCACAAGATTGAGCAACAAGCAGTCTGCGCTCCTCATACATGTGACTTATCTGGAAAATAATAACACAAGACTTGGGAATTGGTGAAATTGACAAAGACAAACAAGCCAGTAGGCCAATAAAGGAGGGTAATCTGGGAAAACATATAGAGAACAATAGAACTCACTTGCTCCCAACACTGAGGAAGTAGTTCTGTTTCTGTTCTCATCTGACCAACATTCTTAGCCAGGCTAATACATGCCTGATGTAAACAGAAGCCAACAAATAAATCAGCTACTACTTTCCAGACAAGTCCTTCTTCTAAAGTTAATTGAATATCATCGAGTAAAATGTTCAATCCTCTTTGGTTAATTTAAGACCAAAAATAAATTTATGAAAAAGCAAATACATCAAAACACAAATGGTGGATCTACAGAGTTTGTGTTCATATTTTCTTCATAAAGAAAACTTCAAATCCAGATTATACTCGGCCAATTACAATAGTTACACCTCTTGTGCCCGTCATATAACTAATTACAATGTTTCCACAAAGGCAAATTCTTCCATTTCTAAAACAAGGGGCCAGGGGCTTACATCCATTATGATCTGTCTCTGCTGCTCATCCGGACGTTTAATCAAATTAAACAATGTATGAGTTAATGAATCCCTAGTACTGCCGTCTGGATGACGCTCGATTGCACACATCATAAGAGGGAGGAGCTCCTGTTTCAAATTAAAGCAAGAACATCAACTAAACATTTTTTCCCTTTCGTTCCAGAGACAATTATAAAAAATAATCATTTTGATCAAAAAGCAGGAGCAAACATTTGATCATAGCACACCTCTCGATGATTTATTAAAACATAGGGAACAATCTTGGGTAAAGCATCAGCAAGGATTTGAATAGTCTCTGAACCCTGAAAACTGAAATTTGTTAGACACATTGTATAATAAAAAACGGTAAGTGTACAACGAAAATTACAACATTTTCTTCTTCCAGAGAAAAATAAAAACACAATACAACTCCAGAAAATCCTTTGTGATACCAAAGCATAGCTCAAAATTTTCACAGGTAAAAGTAGCCGAGCACAGTGGTTTTCAGTGGAAAAACAAAGAAGAAGGTCAATGCCATTGGTAGCCAGATTCAAATGTTATTTTTTGAATCCAAGGATATGAATTTACCGTATCTTTTAATGATCCATCACAACCTAGGTTGTCTGATTTAACAGGAAGACCAGGAGCTGGTGACGAGA